AGCAGTCAATGACAATATAATGTGGTTAGTACTGTGATGGAAGTAAGAACAGGGAGGAAAGGTGGATAAATGGACAGATAGAAAGAAGGGAACCAGAGAAGCTTTCATCTAGTCCTAGAAGAAAAGCTTCTAGATTAAGGAAGGCTTTCCAAGGTTAATCATGTATAACAAGACCCTCAGAAAAATCAAACTAAGGAGCTCGACTGAGCTACTGGCCCAGAATTTACTTCTAAGGCACAAAGAAGCAAAAGGAAGTGAAAATAGTGTAATTCTAGGATGTGTTCTTTGGAGGAAACTTAAGAAGACAAGAAATATAATCCCAAGATTATAATGTGTGATAATCCATTGAACCCCAATTATTAGCTCCCTCTTATACAATAATATTTCTATTTCAAGTCTGCTCCCTTCTCTCCAGTTATTAAATTCACATTTCTAGGATCATAGTAATTAGACCACAAATGACTTAGATTTCTGACCTGCTAAAAGACAAATGATATCAATAGAATAGTACCGTGTTCATTTAAAACGGCCAAATATGAAACTAGAAATCAGAAGAGAAACTAGAGATTCAAAATCAATGAGATTTAGAACTTTCAGACAATCTTAAGAAGCTTTTGTTTGCAAGTTACTTAGAGAAGAACTATTGGAAGTTCTGCATTTGTTTCAGCCAGGCAGAATTCAATATTTCTCTTCCCTCCTGTTAGTGCTCACTCATCAGTACACGTGTGGGGAAATTGGTTCAATTCAAAGTCAAAAACTGCATATGATGGACTGTATGTGCATAAAAGATATGAAGGGCACACCTGTGTTAATGCTAGGGCATCACTAAGGCCCAGAGGAAGCTGGGGGTGTAGCTCCCACCACTCACAACACAACACACATGCACGCACACAGACACACACCATACGCATATTGAAAGTGGCCCAGTTGAACGGTCTGGTTGCAAAACTGTGTGGTTTGTGACTAGGGCACCTAATGCCAGGAAGTGCAGATCACTCAATGTATGTCAGAAGTACTAGACAGATGAAACTACTGACATTCTTGGCAAGAATGACTCATGGCTATTGCCACAGGGGTCTATCACTTTGTGGAATGGCTTATGGGTCTCAAAGCATGACAATATCCAATCTGGTGTCTTATAGAAAAAAAGAAAAGGAGAGGGAAGACCTCAGCTATTATCTATCTCCCAGGAGCTGAAGGAGGAAGGGACTTGATGTGTCACAGAGGGTATCAGGCCTGACTCTCATTGTTCCCTAGAACAGCCACTTCAGGTTGGGCAAAAGCCAACTTGAAGTGAGATGGAATAAGAAGAGATGATGTTCCTGGCCTCCTTTCCAGTGCTTTTATGCCACCTCTCCTTGAAAGCCAGGAGAAAATTATTCCAAAGCTGCCAATGGAATGGGTGACCCTTATAACTGAGTCTTGTTTACCAGTAGTGGCTGTACATTTTTAGTTTCTTCCCCTTCACCTAGCATCTAAGACAATGTTCTGCATACGAAAGACACTTAATAGAGGTTCTTTGGGCCCTAGCTAGTTTGGCTCAGTGGATAGAGCGTCAGCCTGTGGACAAAGGGTCCTGGGTTTGATTCTGGCCACGGCCCTGATCAGGGTGCATGCGGGAGGCAACCAAACAATATGTTTGTCTCACATTGATATTTCTCTCTGTCTTTCCTTCTCTCTTCCACTCTCCCTCAAAAATCAATGGGAAAATATCCTTGGGTGAGGATTAACAAAACAAAACAAAAATAAAGTTTTTTTTTTGTTTCATTTTTGCCTACCTTGTCACTTAAAGTGTCATTTATCCATCGCGTATATACACAAAACTAGAAGGAAAATGATTATCACCAATCTAGGCTTTGGGGCAATTCTCTACTTTCTATGGAAAGCTGGGAAAGGAACAGGAAGTACAAATGAAGAGAGGTTTCAGTTCTTTTCTTAGCTTTCTTTTTAATGCATAGACCATGCCCTGCTCTCCAACCGGAGAGGGAACTTGGTAGGGAACAGCTTGGTCTGAAAGAAGATGTCATTGCTCCTCTCCAACTTCCTTCTCTTTTCACCTCCCCTTCTAAGTCCCTTAAAATAGGAAGGTCCTACTAGCAGCCAGATGGTGGTCACTTGAAGTGTAATTTGTGGTCTCCACCAAAAAATCAGGTCAAGTAAGAACTCCCCCTTTCCCTCAACATCCCCCTCCCTTTCCTCAGTAATTGCCAGCACAGGACTCCAATCAGCATTTGAAAATGCCGGATGGAAAAAAAATAATACTACAGGCTATGCACGTAAACGTAAGAAGATGGTAATACATAAGTACCATGCATTTATAATCTCACTTCTGCAGCATACCCCATAAAATTATTCTCAGCTGTATATTTACATAAGTAAAAAAAAAAAAAATCTGACTTTGGAGAGCATTTTTATAGTTCACAATTTACCATGGGAACACCCATCTGGGTGAAGGCACAACTTCATGTTTCACAGCAGAGGGAAAAACTTCACTTCTGTATCTCAAGTGCCACCTGAATATCAACAAATGTGCAGCAGCTGACTTCCCTTCCTGACAGATATTATGAAATTAACTTGGGTGTCAAGTTCAATAAGAAGTGACTAATCTCAAATTATCTGCCCCGAATAAGGAATTGGATCAATTTTTTTTTTTTTTACACAGCAGCTAGTCCAATAATGGGTACACAGTAGGTACTTAATAAGTACTTGCTGATTGAGAGGTCACATGGTACAGTGAGTTCCACAAAGCATGGGCATTGGAGTCTGATGACCTGGGTTGAAAATGTACTAATCACCAGCTGGCTTCCCAGCTACTGTAAGAGGTAAGGGAAAAACCCAGCAAAATAAAGCCCAAATAAAGAGATGACAGACAATTAAAGAAGTAACACCAAAAATCAGCATAATAGAAAACAAATATGCAATAATCTGCAAAGCTCAAGTTTGGTTTTTAGAAAAAGCTTGCAAAATTGACAAACTTCTGGTAAGAATGACCAAGAAAAATAGAGAGTAGCTACCAATAAACAATATTAGAAATAAAGAGGGAACAATTACAGACGCTACAGAGAATAAAAGGGGAATATATGGTTAAAAATAAGAGGATATTATGCAAAACTTTATGTCACTACATTTTAAAATATAAACAAAATAGATTGATTTTTAGAAAACACAGTATTTTTCAATCTTCCCTCAAAAAGAATACCAAGCCAAGATGGTTTTATAGGCAACTCTCCCAAATATCAAAGATACAAGCATTCCATTCCTACATAATCTATTCCAGATTGTTGAAAAGAAAAAAATGAGAAGGGGCACACTCTCTAACTCAGTTTATGAAGCAAGAATAATCTTGATAGCAAAATTTTAAAATGTTATTGCAGCCGAAACAGGTTTGGCTCAGTGGATAGAGTGTCAGCCTGCAGACTGAAAGGTCCCAGGTTTGATTCCTGTCAAGGGCATGTACCTTAGTTGTGGGCACATCCTCAGTCGGAGGTGTGCAGGAGGCAGCTGATCGATGTTTCTCTCTCATCGGTATTTCTAACCCTATCTCTCTCCCTTCCTCTTTGTAAAAAAATCAATAAAATATATATTTTTAAATGTCATTGCAAAATAGAAAAATTACAGGCAAAATACACTCAAATACGAATGGAAACATTCCTTAAATTAGCAAACCAAGTCAAATTAAATTTCCTTAAGCCAGCAACAAATAGACAGTGTTCATAGCAGCATTGTTAGTAATAAATAATGTAAACAACCCGAATGCCTATCAATAGTAAACTGGATATTAGAAATTAATGGTGCATTTCATATAATAGATTATATTCTGCAATGAAAATCAATGAAATACAGCAACAAGGAATAACATGGGTGAATCACTGGAGTGTAATATTGAAAGAGGAAGTCATGAAAGAAGACATGTAATCCAATTCCACAGGATGTCTAAAAACATGCAAAATTGATTACACATGTGTAATACAGCTATAAAAAGAAACACACAAAAAATAAAATGCAAAATCCAGGACGGTGCTCTCTCAAAGGAAAAAAAAGCAATCGGATCAGGGAGGGGCACATAAGAAATAACAGAGGTAAAGGCAATGCTCTATACTTCACAGGAATTCTTTTATAGCTAATCTTTAATTTTAAAAATTCAAAACATCTTGAATAACAAAAGCCAGCTCCTAGCATGGTTCTCTTCCATCTCCCATTCTCTGCATGTGCTCACAGTGTGACAAGGGGAACTGTGGCTCGCCATAGCAAATAGGTGAGAATTTCCTCCTAGCTCCCCTGAAGGTTGACTTTTTTAAAGAAATCCGGAAATAGATGCCCGATAGAGTTATTTCCTAACGTTGATTATTTGACCACATGCTCAAACAGCCATCCCACTTGCTCTGTCATTTCAAGAAGCATGTTTCAATTTTACCACATTCCATCCACAGCTAAGAAAGCTTGAAAGCTATTTAAGCTTTGCAAAGTCCTACAAAATAACATCACTGCATGTCCAGTGATTTTGGAATTTACCCAGTCCAAATAGCACAGACAAAAAAAGAAAATTGCTTGACCTAGCTTCAACTGCCTGTGTAACCTTTTGTATTATTGTTGCAACGTGTCACCCTTAGCTACCATAATAACACAACTTACAGACCTTCCTACCTGGGTAACTACCGGTTCATTGGAAGTGGAGGGGGATGGCAAGACTCAGTTATCATTTCAATGGTGACTAAAATGGTAACTGTGGGACAGGCCACAAGAAGTATTTAGAAATAGTTCCATGACAGCATAGCTTCAGGCAACAAATGACTCTAAGGCTCTCCATGTTCTGGTGGTGATAAATGGTAAATGGCTGAGAGGAAGCAGTTCTATTTATTCCAGTTTCTGACTGACACCTGTTCTTTCCATTCTAACTCAAAATATGTTATTGTTTTCAATTCTTACCTGCGGATATGTTTTTATTGTTGACTTTTTTTTTTTTTTTTTTTTTTTTTTGAGAGAGAGAGAGAGAGAGAGAGAGAGAGAGAGAGAGAGAGAGAGAGAGAAAGACATTGATGTGAGAAACATAGATCAGTTGCCTGCTGTACACGCCCAGACCGGGGATGAAACTTGCAACCTTAGGTATGTGCCCTGACCAGGAATCAAACCTGCCACCTTTTATTTATTTTTAAAAAAAATATATTTTATTGATTTTTACAGAGAAGAAGGGAGAGGGATAGAGAGCTAAAAACATCCATGAGAGAAACATGGATCAGTTGCCTCCTGCACACCCCCTACTGGGGATGTGTCCGCAACCAAGGCACATGCCCCTGACTGGAATTGAACCTGGGACCCTTCAGTCTGCAGGCCAACGCTCTATCCACTGAGCCAAACTGGTTTTGGCAAACCTGCCACCTTTTAGTGTATGGAATGACACTCCAACCAACTGAGCTACCTGCCTAGAGCTCTTAGATTATTTTGAGAGATTAAAATGATTTAAGGAAATCCATAAGTATAAATAATATTGTGTGAGGCTAAGAGCATAGACTAAACTTAAGGAAAAAATGAGGCTAAGAGCATAGACTAAACTTAAGGAAAGAATAAAGCACAGAAAATCCTTTGAAGAATTTTGTTTGGGGCAGTCATATGGCAACTAGAATTAAACAGTGATTTAGCAAGTATTATTGTTTATAATGCATAGAAGTTTTTATGCACTGCAACAAAAGTACACTATAGAATGCCTTTTATAAGTAAAAGCACACAAAGAGATACTTAGAAAAAATTATACTTTTACTTATCTGTGTCCAAACAATATTCATTTGTAGTGAAGTGTTCCAAAGAGTCCAAGCATAGTTAGAATTTTCTAACTCATAGATGTGTCTATAAAAATAAGCACGAGCCCTAGTTTCAGAAGTATGTTTTCATATGTAATAAAATAAAATTCATTGTATATTTTCAGCTACAATTAATAGATGCCCACATCAGACACTGAGTCCCACAAGTAATGAACTTGCTTCACAGATGATGATGATGGGCTGAGAAGATACTGCTCTGAGTAGAGATTCAATTAGTGAAAATAGATTTTTGAGATCTGCTGTTGAGTGCTGAAGAGTACCGAACATTGTGTTCAAATGAACATGCCAGGAAGGATTTGCTCTCATTTGAAGTGCGAGATCCTTTTGTGTTTTAAATTTAATTCAATATTGAACTAAATTGTGCAAGTGTCAAAATTAAATGTAAAAAAAGGCATTTGATTTAACATGGGATTTCTGGGATAAGCGCTCAGGCATATAATCTCAACAGCAACAGATTCCAAAGCTTAATCACTGTTTTAAGACTCACTCTATCACAAGTACTCTGGGATGTCATAATTGTCATGAGAGATTGAACAATCAATCAACTTGTAGTAGAGGCTTGCGGAGTGTCATTTCATAATTGTGTTCTTTTCATCAAAATCCTCTGGGCCCTAGCCAGTTTGGCTCAGTGATAGAGCGTCAGACCATAGACTGAAGGGTCCTGGGTTCAATTCCGGTCAAGGTTCTGGTTGCAGGCTTCATCCCCAGCCTGGTCATGGCACCTGTGGGAGACAACCAGTCAATGTATCTCTCCTTCTACTTGCCACTCGCTCTAAAAATCAATGGAAATATCCTTGAGTGAGGATAAACAACAACAACAACAACAAATCCTCTGGGCTCTTCTTTTTTTCTTTTTCTTTTTTAAATATGCTTTATTGATTTTTCACAGAGAGGAAGAGAGAGGGAGAGAGAGTCAGAAACATTGATGAGAGAGAAACATCCATCAGTTGCCTCTTGCACACCCCCTACTGAGGATGTGCCCGCAACCAAGGTACATGCCCTTGACCGGAATCGAACCCAGGACCTTTCAGTCCACAGGCCGACGCTCTATCCACTGAGCCAAACCGGTTTCAGCTGGGCTCTTCTTTTATACTATTTTTTTTTCCCAACCCATGTGCCTTTATGCTTCCCAGATATTCTACTGTCTCTTCTTCTTCGGTGTTCAAGGTGATGGGGGCACTCACATTGGCTTAGTGGTCATCCTAGCTGTCCTTCAAGCCAGCACAGTGCTGCTGAACAAAACTTTGTGGCTTTCTATCTCCTCTCCAGAATCGCCATTCATCCAGAGGATGGTGGCTTTATAGTATTGACATACCGACAAACCCCTTCACTCACTCATGCCAATGTGTGTATGAAGGAGGCCGAACCACATTTACTTATAACTATCATCTCTAAAACCCTACTTAAATTCTGAAATCAGCTTGGCTTTAGTATTAAGTTACTAAGTCATGAGTGTCTTTGAACCATTTTATGAAACATGAGGTATTGACCAGTAACAGGGAGACACAAAGGATGACACGAGATTTCCCTCGAGGCCCTTGGATAGAGTGAGAGAAATAGGACCAGTAGGCAAGAAAAGGAATCATGTAGGCAGAATGTAGTGAGTATTTGATCAGTGGGGCAGATAATAATAGGTGCTAACGAAGCTCTCCCTATGGCCTTCATGGGAGGGATCAGACTATACAGCTTGTTCTCTTGAAGAAGCAACATAATGTGAATTATGGGTGAGGAGTGGCTGTTCCAAGGTGTATTAAAAGGCCAGAGACGTGCATATAAAACTTCCGTGTGACTTGGGCAGGAGGGGTAGTGCAGCAAAGTTGGGGAACAGGAGGCTTATGCTCGAGAACAATAGGAAGCCAGACACAACCACTCAGTCTCTTTAGAATGGCATATTTCATCTTTTGGACAGTAGCAGTGCCACTGAACGATTTTAACCAAAACCTGTGTTTAAAGATGATTTATTTGTCCCGTGTAGAAGGAGAAGGCAGTAAGTGGCAAAGGGAAGATCAACCAACAGCCTTGTAGCAATGTTTTCTATGGGTCCCAAAGCAGGGCGGTAACAAGGAAATAGAGAAGAGATACTGGCAATTGAGTATGAAGAGAGTGAGTCAGTGTGCCTGAGTCACCGAATTTCACAAGGGCTCTGTTTTCCTATAAATACGTTTCTTAAAGTTTCAATAGTAAATTCCCAGCCCCATGCAGCGAGTGAATAAGTTAGTACTTAACACAAAAGCAACAATCCATTGTACTCAAATGCTTTAATTTTGAATGCAAGCATCTTTAATACGCTGCACCGACATGCATGCCCTGAGCTTTTGCCTGCATGGGCACGTTTGCAAATCTACCTAAGGATGGAGGGTGGACATATCTCAGAGCCTGTCCCAGGCGCCAGGCCCTTGGCCAGTGGCCAGGGACACAGAGATAAAAGACAGCCTGCGCCTTCTTTAAAGTCAGCCAGGTCTTCAAGGACCACAGCCAGGCTGCTGACTTCCCACTTGTGTCTCCACACCAGACTGCGCTCCTGATTTCCAACCCTGCCCGTGCATCTAAGAGACCTTCTCGCCTGGCTGTCCCAGATGTCTTCTTCTCAACATCCGCAATACTGGATATCGACCTCTTTCACGGGGTCTCCACCGCAGAGAATGGCAGAAAGGACAGCTCTTGCTTGGGTTGCCCGCCTCACTCCCCACATTATCTATCCTTAATTTCTGTTAATTCCACTTCCTGGATATCTCTCTAGTCCAGCCACCTTTCGCCATCTCTACTGTCACCTCTTTGGTGCCAGCTACTGCTATCTGGTGCCCGGTAAGGCTTTCTAAGTGGTCTCCTGGCATCCCAGCCTGCAAGCCTCCCACTGACCACACACCAGCCCATGTGACCTTTCTGAAGTGAATGTATGACTGAGTGGCTTATCTGCTTGAAACCCTTTAATGGTTTCCTGCTGCTGTTAGAATAAAGTGCAAATCCCTTAATACGCATTGCAAAGCCCTTTACAGCCTGGACCAGGCCCATCTTCCCATCCTCACTTGGCTTCTCTCTCTGCTCTAAGCCCAGTCCCACAAAACCCTTTCAGCTCTGCTAATGGTCCGTGCTCTCACTCTCTTCCTGGCCCCCATCTATTCTATCCTGCCTGCCAGAAACCCTTTCCCCCTTTCCTGCCAGTGCCCATGCCAAGAAATGAGTACCCTGAGCCGCAAGGACAGATGCACATTACTAATGACCATTTTTCCACATTGCATGTGTTCAACACTCCACATTTGCTAAGAGTTTTTGCTATATCCCTCTAACTACAATGTAGTATAAATACAATATTTTGCAAACAAAATTCTGAAGAATAGGACTGAATGTGGAGCATCAGAACCATCTTGGAATACCGTGCTTTTAGGTTAGTTCCCATTTTGTGGCAGTGGACATTAGATCCTGGCCTTCCCTCACTGGAGACAAGGGATTGCTGAGTAAATCCAAAAGGGCAGGGTCAGCAGGTGCTCTGGGCACATGTCCTGCAGTAAGTTGGCTATTTAGTCCATTGTGTTGGAGAAAATGTTTCTGCTAAAGATTCATTGTGAAGCTTTATTATGGCTGTTCAATGAAGAGGTGCCAAAAGTAAAACACACACACACACACACACACACACACACACACACGCACCTCTGTGCTCTTGGAAGTGTAAACCATCGTGGAGGCAGCTTCCTCTCTTGAAGGAAGGAGCAGAGCCCTCTCTGTCCTTACCTAACTTATGACATTTTGTCCAAGAACAAATAAGCTGTAATCAGGCCCTTTGTCAGGGTTAAATAGGAAATAAACCCAACCCACAAGGAGAAACAAGAGAAGCAGTTCTGGATTTAAAATAAATGGACATGGATACCAAGACCAATTCGAACCCAGAACTCCCAGGGCAAGTGGGCTGGGTTGTGGTGGGACAGACTTCATTGGTGGAACTTACCAAGAAGGCAATGAAATGATCTTCCCTCGACTATCCCTTGAGGGCATCATGCTACAGTGTCAGACAGAGAAATACAACACTGTAAGATCTCACTTATAATTGAGATCTTAAAGACAACACACACACACACACACACACACACACTCACAACCAAACTCATAGAAAGAGAAAACAGATTGGTAACTGCAAAAGCAGGGGGCAGGAGGTGAAGGAAATGAGTGAAAGGGGGTCAAAGGTATAAACTTCCAATTATAAAATGCATTCTGTGGGGTGTAATATACAACAGGTAACCACAGTTGACAATACTGTACTGTATATTAAATGCTGCTAAGAGAGTAGATCCTAAAAGTTCTCATCACAAGACAAAATTGTAAGTATGCGAGGTGATAAACATTAACTAAAATTTTTGTGGTGATCATTCTGTACTATATTCATATATCAAATCATGATGTCATACACTTCAAAGGAATACAATATTATAATTCAACTAGAGGCCTGGTGCACAAATGTGTTGTAAGGGTGGGGTCCCACCAGCCCATCCCAATCGGAGCCCATCAGGCTGGTTGGAGGCAGGATGCTGGCCGGCTGGCCCTGCCCCTAATTGAGGTTGGGGTGGGGGGCGATCAGTATGGGACCAGCTATGGGGAGGGGACAATTTGCATGTTGGCCTTTTATTATACAGGATTACATCTCAATAAAACTGGGGAGAGGGGAAGATCCCTGAGGACTTGTGAGTGGACGGGGCCAGTAGCAGCCCAGCCTCCGCTGCTAGAATATCTCAGACCTAGTACTCAACAGAGGTGCCTGGTGGCCTAAGCCAATGGCGTCAGAGAAGTAGGGGGATAGTGCTGACCCTTGTCACCTGGGGCAGAAGTCAGCAGCCTCCTGAAGGCCCCTCAGGGTGTCAGGCCTGGATCACAGCCCTAATTTGACATCTATTTCTAAACTCTTCTGATAACCCCGAAATGAATAACAGTTACCCAGGAGTCTGCAAAACCTCTCACTGGATTACTCATTGAATAGCAGGTAGGGATGGAAACAAATTTTAAAAAGTGATTCCGGGAAGATGAGTGGTGCTCTGTGCTGTCAAAAACACAGACACAGAGGAGAGAAGGGAAAGACCCATGAGCTCATCGGCACGGGACAGGCAAGGACTGTTCCCTGCAGTGTTTTGATAGTCCCTGGCTCGAATCAGAGCTATGGGAAATTGTGCCAAGTCACATGAAGCCTGCAGAAGGCATCCGTGAGGAAAAGATGTTTCTGGACAGAGGAATGCGACACGGAAGCAGGGCAATGTGACTAGACCTCATTATCTGAGTGCCTTTGAGAGCACGCTGGAGAGCAGAGCTGCGTTTTGAATCAACTCAAACCTACCATAAATGGAGTCTAAAGGCAGGCTGGAGGCTCCCCAGAGAAATTCCTATTATGTCCATGGCAGGGGAATGAAGCAAGTCCCATCTGGCTGGGCCCAGAATATTCTTTGCTTAGGAAAGCTTGTGGCAGTTGCATTTAGAGCCGACTGCATGTCTATACTAGACCAGAGCCCGAACACAGAGGTGTAAACGCCCTGAAACATGAGCAGACAGAGCCAGTGGTGCAGAGCAAGCCTTTGTCTCTAAGGCATCTAAACCACAAGGCGAGATATTAATTAGGTATCATTTTTATAAAATCCCCAACTGATTATGAGACAATATTATGACCAATGTCGCTCAGAGTTGCAATAGCAAAATACAGTGGCATTATCTTTTTCCATTAGTCTATCCATATGCAAGCTAACATTATAAACTGGCAGGTGCTGAAACCGGTTTGGCTCAATGGATAGAGCATCGGCTTGGGAACTGAAAGGTCCCAGGTTCGATTCCGGTCAAAGGCATGTACCTTGGTTGCAGGCACATCTCCAGTAGGGGTGTGCAAGAGGCAGCTGATCAATGACTCTCTCTCATCGATGTTTCTAACTCTCTATCTCTCTCCCTTCCTCTCTGTACAAAATCAATAAAATATATTAAAAACAAAACAAAACAAAAACAAAAAAACTGGCAGGTGATTCCGCCCCTGGCCCCCGTGGGGCTGACATTCTCAGGGAAACCCCAGAATTTTAAAGTAAGCGCATAGTTGGTGGGGAGGGGCGTTCGTGACGTCAGCAATTGGATTTCTGGGCTGGAGGGGCAGGAACCAGTGAGAACAGGTAAGAAGTTTCCCCCCACCCCCAACTGCCTGGTTCCTGCCCCTCCAGCCCAGAAACCAAATTGCTGAGGTCACTAATGTCCCCCCAAATGTGCTTACTTTAAACTTTTTTATTTTTATTTTTATTTTTTATTGATTTTTTACAGAGAGGAAGGGAGAGAGATAGAGAGCCAGAAACATCGATGAGAGAGAAACATCGACCAGCTGCCTCTTGCACACCCCCTACCGGGGATGTGCCTGCAACCAACGTACATGCCTCAGACCGTAATCGAACCTTGGACCGACGCTCTACCACTGAGCCAAGCAGGTTCGGCCCGAATGTGCTTACTGTAAAGCACAATGAAACTGGCCCTCTCTACACTAATAAAAGAGAAAGATGCAAATTGACCTTTGCCACACCCACCAGCCAATCACAAGTATGAAAATTAACTCAACAAAGATGGCAGGTTAATTTGCATACACAGGTGCTGAGCGGCCTGGGATGGGGCAGGACACTTGAGTTGTCGCCATGGCGACGACACAGGCGTTCTGCACCACCCCAGCCACTCTGGGCCTCTGGGCAGCATGGGAAGGCCGAAAGGTGGCTCCAGCCGAAAAGGAGGCTCTGGCTGGAACGAAGGCAGTGCTGGCAGCCAGGGGAAGGAAGGCCCATTCTTGCATGAATCTTCGTGCATTGGCCTCTAGTTAGGAAATAAAGGCCCAGCGGGGTGAGGTGACAGCTCCAGTGTTACCTGCTCAAAATGGCTGACATACTGGGCTCCCTTCTTCACAATGTCATGACCTCTAGCTCCTCTCTACCACATTACCTTTCAGAACTAAGTTATCTTGTGAAGTAGCTGTAACTGGAGGCGTCCTGGAGTCCAGAAAGCCAGTGTTCACATCCATTCAGCGAAAGCATGACGTATTATTGATAGAATGAAAAGTCTTCATTATAGACATGCATTACATCCACACCTTGAGCACAGTGGTCTGAAGCCACACCCCTACAGGTGTGGTCCATGAACCTACGATATCACCATCCCTGGCAGCTTATCAGAAGAATAAAATTTAGAGCCTGCAACACACCCAGTCCATCCGAATAGCTGAGAATGGAGTCCCCAAATCTGCATGTAAGTTCTCTAGGTCGCCAACCAGTGGTCCGTGAGGTCCGAAAGGTTGGCGACCACTGCTCTAGGTGATTCTTATGCATCTTAACGTTTTAAGGAACTACCATTCAGAAATAAAGAAGGGAATAAAAATAAATGTCATGAGGACTAGGATTTTGCCAGGGATAGGGGACATGTTCTTGCTGTCCCTTAGACTTTTAATAATCAGGGAAAAGGAGGAGGATGAATTATATTGGCACAAAGTTGCATGTGCGAAGAAGGCACCTCAAGTGCATGCCTTACAGGTGCCATCAGATACCTGCTCCACATTCTGTCTCACCAAGGCCTCTGGACCGGGCTAAACAGCCAGCATGCTGGCCTTGCTCCCTGTTGCAAGGCCCTTGCTTAGCGTGGGGACACGAGGGCAGGGGTGCCGTACCCTGGTTCAGATGCCGGATGCAGTCACTCAGGAGGGCATGGAACTTCCTCTGCTCGGCGGCCTCGGGGAAGCAGAAGTAGCCGTGCCTGAGGAACGGCTGCCACAGGTACACCGGGAACTCCTTCGGCGGCACCACAAAGGGCGGCGCGCTCTCCTTCTCACTGGACGCTGCAGGAATATCGAAAACACAAAGACGTTTTATACGGTGCATCTTCTATTTAAAATGCTTATTTCAGGCTGTGAAGGGACCTCTCTGGAGGGCAGGCCTCCAGATGGGATGGAAAGGTGGTGAGAGAGGTCTAGGGAGGAGGGACTGAGAGTTCAGGCTCCTCCCACATCTCTCCACCAGCTTCACCTGTCTCAGGCCACCTCCTACCCCACAGGGACAACCAAGGCCATTGGACACAATCTTTCCCAACTTCCTCACATCGACGAAATGCACCCACAGAGCTCCCTCTTCCCGAGTGGTCCTCTGCAAGCTACTCGGTCCAGCTGTGCAGACCGCCCCCTCTCTCCCCTAGGCCCCGTGTCACCAGGTCTGCTCCGTTCCCTGCACTCTCTCCCTCCTCCCTGTCACTTGTCTTCCTGCCATCAACCTCTGTTCTCACCTCAGCCTGGTTCCTGCCCCTCCAGCCCAGAAACCAAATTCCTGAGGTCACTAACGTCCCCCTGACTGCCAGCCTGTGGCTTCTTCTTTATTATCTGTCCTTTGAACATGACCTGAAACATCTTTTGCTGCTAACCCTCCCTTCTTTTGGAAACACTCTCTTCCCATGACATCCAGGAGCCCGTCTCTCCTGGTGTCCTTCATGCTTTTTAAACACTGCTGCTTCTTTGTCACCTTTCCTGGCTCCTCTACACCTTCTCTCCATCCCCCAGTTAAGGGCTGGTGCTTGCTCCCTGCTCTGTACTGTACTGGTTTCCGCTCCGCTCTCAGTCTCCCCGCCCCTCAGGTGCGGTCATCGACTCCATGACTCCGCATATCACCTCTGTGGACCATAGTACCTTTCCTCCTTCCCTTCCGTCACGATTTTCCACCGAAAGTTCTCATTCATCCTTCAAAAGTCCATTCAAAGGCCCCCTGCTCTGGGGGGCCTTTGTTGACACCTCCCTCTGCCACCAGACAGAGTTGGGTGCTCCCTACCTTGTTCTCCCAAAATATTGTACTGATCTGTTTCCATGTCTGGCATCCACACTCAGGGTGAGGGGCACAGTCTCAGATAAGCTTCCTCGCTGATTCCCTCCCCCACCTCAAATCTACACCACTGCCCTGAGGCCCCCAGGAGCTGGAGACTGCATCTGACTTATCTTTGTATCCTCAGCACATGTCACAGTCATGGAACCTAGTGGATGCTGGACTATAGTTTGTTGAATAAATAAATGTTCTACATTGTCCTAGGACATTTTTAAAAAATATATATTTTATTGAGTTTTTATAGAGAGGAAGAGAGAGGAATAGAGAGTTAGAAATATCGATCAGCTGCCTCCTGCACCCCCCTCACTGAGGATGTGCCTGCAACCAAGGTACATGCCCTTGACTGAACCAAACCTTTCAGTCCACAGGCCGATGCTCTACCCACTGAGCCAAATAGGTTTCGGCAATCCTAGGACATTTTAAAAGCCTTAAACAATGGAGACTTTCCCCTCTTCCCTCAAAATCAATTCCAAGAGACTCATATTAAGCCAGTCCACTAAGATCCTGTTAGTCTCTAGCTATCTCTCATTTAACCTTTTACAGCAATTTTCCAGATGCCATTAGTCTGAATTTTTCCCCAAGTTGAGTCACAAGGATATCACAAATGATCTACTGTAGAATGTTCTATTTTTAAAACCCAGAAGGTCACAGATACAATGAAAAAAAAAGTCATTGAAATTTGCCCCAATCTGAAGCCCTGAGCCAAATGGCATTAGTCACACAGGACTGGTGATTTTTATTCCTTTTCATTCCTTCCGATATGATATCAACAATAAATCAATACACACATTGTGTGTTTTGAATGATTTCATTGGAAAGTCCTTTTGGAGAGATTCTGAAGGGTCGTATGTTGATATTCCCATTTCCAACAATAGATCCAGAGCCACAGTGACATATACGTAGACGTTGAAAGAAAATATAATAATATGTATAGTGCACACAAACTGTTGTTTTAGCCTGAATTACCTAATAATAGTTTGTTTAATCTAGGTTTATGGCCCATGTACTAATCTAATAATAGTGCTATTAAAAACACTATGCTAAGCATTCCTCACCAAAAGAACAGTGGAAAAAATAACTATATTTTCTCCATAAACTCTAATGAAATGATTATACCCGTTAATAAGAACCAGCACTCTCTTCAAGAAACAAAGTAATTACTGTGCAGCATGATTTACACAAAGCCAGATGGGATTATTACATTATCCACAGTTCATGAATCTCTATGCAATGCACTACTTGGCCTATATATGCATATTATCCATCACTTTTTCTACATGGAAAGCACAGAATGAATGAGAACCCAAGTGCATTAGAGATGGAAAGATCCTTCAAGATTTCCAAATTCAAGGCCCTGGAGTTGGAGGAACAGTAATCAGAGAGGTTTAGTAACACTAGGGCAGTGGGCGGCAAACTCATTAGTCAACAGGGCGGCAAACCACAGCTCGAGAGCCGCATGGGTCTCGCGAACCGCGGTTTGCTGACCACTGCACTAGGGGAACACCTGTGAAGTGGCACAATTAGAACTACCGTATTTTTCGGACCATAAGACGCACTTTTTTCCCCCCAGAAGTGGGGGGAAAAAGTCCCTGCGTCTTATGGTCCAAATATAGCCTACACATATACTTTAAAAAAACAAGTTTTTTTACTTGCCCGGCTCTGTGTGGTCTCTGTGTGCTTGCCCGGCTCTAAAATGGTTCTAAATGCTGCTGTTTACTTTACAGGGTTGATTACATGTGTTTATGACTGTCATGTTGGGTTTTAATGCACATAAAATATTTTAGGACACTATTTGTTTCAGAATCTTTTTTTCTTCATTTCCCTTCTCTAAAAACTGGTGCGTCTTATGGTCCGGAGTGTCTTATGGTCCGAAAAATACGGTAAATAAAAACCTAGTCTTCCAATTCTCAGTTCAATGCTCTTTCCATGGCAGCCTTCCGCTATTATTTATAAATATGCTAATTAAGTCAATGTCTTTTTTACACCGTAGCTATGAGTGACTGTAACGCTTGTTAAAAACGTTTTGTCAATTTAGGATACTCTATTGCACATCTCCCTCAAATTAGAAAAATAATATTCCCTGACATGCTTACTGAAAGGTGAGGTTGTACATTCCAAAGACTGGGCCTGTCTGCTTTTTGCTGCTGTCCTGTGGAACTGTGAAAGCCACCCACGTATTTCCCAAACCTTCCGATGTCTAACCGGTGGCACGTTTCTGAAACGCTGGAAACAGCAATTGCGTCGTGAATTACTGAATGTGGTTTAAAAATAATAGGAGTGGTACAATGTTTACCTAAATGAGGTAAACATCTCCCATCTGTCTGTGGTGTGTATGTGTCTGACCCAGGGTCTCTCAACTTCAGCAGCTATGGATATTGTGCGCCAGATAATTCTTCGTTGTCAGACTGTTCTGTGCATGGCAGTAGGTTTAACAGAATCACAGGCCTCTCCCCACTGCATGCCTGCAGCGCCATCCTCCCAGCTGTGACAACCAAAAATGTCTCCAGACGCTTCCCAATGTCCCTGAGGGTGAGACGCCCCTCCCCCAATGGGAGTGGCTGGCCTCCCCGAGCACAGCCAGTCTGAGAATTCGTCCTGGGAAAGAATGCTCAGCAACTCACCAAGCGGGTCTGGGAAATGCCTGTCAGATAATAGGTTGTATTCCTCTTCGGAGGTTAACACTTTGCCACCCGCTGGAAGGATTCGGCTTTTAGGAGCAGCTCCTTTCTGATAGGCCTGGGAAAGGAAAGGCATAAATGAGTGATTATTTCACCCCCCTTTTTGGATTTTTTGAAAAATATCCAGAATATTAGAAATAGACAGACAGACCTAGGTAAGCCATTCCCACACTAGGTCATTGAGTAAGAGCCATGTATTTAAAAAAATACGTTTTGTGCAACGGCACTTGCGAGGCCTTACTTGAGTACTTTTGTGTGATGTTCACAACATGGGAAGCCAGAGTCCCTAACCTCAGGGAGATTCGCAGAGGAAAGCATCATCTCAGTAACTTCTAGAAACCCAGTGCCCCGGCAGGCACCTGAGTCATTCTAATAACCACAAGGGCGATGATGCATGCAGACACATGTGCAGACCGATGACGAATGTGACTGTGGGACAGGTGACTGCAGTCACGGTTGCCATGGATTGTCACACAAAACAAAAATGACGCCGTGATAAATATGCCACCGCTTTGCCCTCTGACATGAAACTGTTTTTGCGGTTTTTATTTTATTTTATTGTTTTTGTTTGTTTGCTTGTTTTATATCTTTTTATTGATATCAGATAAAAGAAGGGAGAAGGGGAGAGAGAAACATCAATGATGAGAGAGAATCATTGATGGGCTGCCTCCTGCACACCTCATCCTGGGGACTGAGCCTGCAACCCAGGCATATATATGCCCAGACCCAGAATCAAACCCTGACTTCCTAGTTCATGGGTCAATGCTCAACCCCTCAGCCTCACTGGCTGGCAGGCATGAGACTGTTTTGCAGTGAAGTGATCTGGGATGGAATAGCAAGGCCATGACATCAGAACAAATTCTGGCCAGCAGACAAACAGCCCCACTGTGGGGGGAACGTAAAAGAGGTGTGAGCATGGCTAAGGCACTCAAGTATTTGTTAAGCAGATAAGCCCACAAGGACGTACAAATAAGATAAATTTTAAGTGTGTGCGTCTGATGGCAGGGATGAAGTCAAGGCAAAATGTTGAAAATAACGGGGCTGAAAGCAAGCTGAGAATGGAAACCAAGCAACTGTTCGACCCAAATGTAGCGTGTCCTCTTGGGAATAACTAAAAATAATGGATTGGGGCAACGTGATCAGGACGAGAACGCATTCTCCCTCACTAAGGCAGTGACTGAAGAGACCCAAACAAAACAAACGCTCGTGTCTAAGAAGGTTGCTTTCAGACTTGTGAAACCCGCTAATCGATTAGCGTAAGCACGTCAGGGGCCCTGGGCCTAACGGAGGAATTGAAAGTTGTGTGGTTTTGAAAAAGTTCAGAAGCAGCTTGTCTGAGACTGGCCTCAAATCTAAAATGTGTCATTTGTTATAGCAGGCCCCAATCTGGGCTTTTATGAACACTGCATCCTTCAATCCTAAAAACAGCACTATTATTATCTCCCTTTTATAAACTAGAAAACAGGTTAAATAACCTACCAATGGCCCATCGGTGAGTAGGTGACAAACCCAGGGCTCATACCTGGGTTTGTCCAGCCCAGTGCAACCATACAGGAAGTACAAATTAAATGATTATCCAATGAGAATGTTTCCTTTTTCCTACTCAATTACCAGCCAAATAAGGCAATTTATAGGCACTTAATGTATAACTCTTAGGTGTAATTTTTAAAAACACCCTTCTCTAAATGAAAAAAAAAAAATGTTAAAACTTGGAGGAATTATGGCAAACTACACGTCATTTTTTAAATTTCCAAGTTTTTAACACTTGCTTATTATCAAATTCAGTAATCATAGCTTTAAAATACGCATCTTAATATTACGCAGCCATAAAAAAAAAAAAAATTCTCATCGTTTGCAGCTACCTGGATGGAATTGGAGAACATCATGCTGAGTGAAACAAGCCAGTCAATGAAAGAGAGACACCACATGATCTCACTTATTTATGGATGATAAAGAACATTATAAACTGAAGAACCAAAAGATAGATATAGAGACAGTAAAGCAACAAGCAGACTGTCAAATTACAGCGGGGAGGTTGGGGAGATCTGGGGGAGATAAGAGATCAACGGAAGGACTTGTATACATGCATATAAGTACAACCAATGGACACAAAACTCTGGGGAGGGAGGGTATGTACGGGAGGGGGTGGGCATTGGTATATGCACAAAAATAATAATTTAATAAAAAAAGTATATTATAAAAAATAAATAAATAAAATAAAATATGCATCTTTAAAAATCCAAACTGGACCATTTGAAAACGATGAGCAAAATAATTTTTAGTACTTTGTTATTGTCTAATTCAGTAACCGTATCTGAAAAAATCCAAACGGTTTCACTTGAAAATAATGAGCAAATAGATTGAACGTTTAAAAAATGAAAAGAGGAAAAACACCAGTTTTGATTCAAAATGAAACTTCAATTAGTGCCAAATATGGTGAAAACCATAATAAATATAAGAGGAAGCTCTATGAGTGTTTCCTCCCAATTATTTAGTGGTAATCAGACAACTGCTCTCCATTGGGCTCTGCCAGTGCTTGGCTATGAGTTATGGACTTCAATACACTCATTTTTAAAATGATATATTTTATTGATTTTTCACAGAGAGGAAGAGAGAGGGATAGAGAGTTAGAAACAGCGATGAGAGAAAAACATCGGTCAGCTGCCTCCTGCATACCCCTACTGGGGATGTGCCTGCAACCAAGGTACATGCCCTTGACCGGAATCAAACCCGGGACCTTTCAGTCCGCAGGCTAACGCTCTATCCACTGAGCCAAACTGGTTTCAGCTCAATACACTCATTTGTTTAATCCTCGCAGCAACATCATGAGGAAGGGATCATACTTACCATTTCACAGATGAGAAAGGTGAGGCTCAAGGAGATTTATGACTTACAAAAGGACACTTTTATAAAAGTGTGTTTCAAAGTCCACAATATTAACCATTCTGCAATACTACGTCTTCTCAAGCTTACCTGAGAGGACATCGTATTATAAAATACAAATAATGGTGATTTGTGTCCAGTGTGGCTCAGTGGTTGAGTGTCAACCCATGAACCAAGAGGTCACCAGTTTGATTCCAGGTCCGGGCACATGCCCGGGGTTAACGGGCTCGATCCCCCATACAGGGTGTGCAGGAGGCAATGATTGATGATGTTTCTCTCTTGTCAGGGTTTCTATCTCTCTATCCCTTTCCCTCCTCTCTCTAAAATCAAGAAAAACATATTTTTAAAAAATAAATAAAGGTGACTTATTATCATTACTATATGTAGGGTATTGATAATTTGCTGCAGAGAGCACATCATTGTTGAATAAAATCCTACTATAGATAAGCCGAGAAAATATTAGCTTAATGAATGTTGCAAAGAATAAGACTACTCAACGCAGCATTGCCTAATGGCCTGTGGAATAAGTTAATATTGTACTTTATTTCTATTTTCCATCAGAAACGGGAAGGAAACACATTGGTCTGCTGGCTGGAAGTCTCCTCCTATAGGTTTAGTGTCAAGAGAGCAAAGTTTTTGGTGTTTTTTGGTTGTTTTGTTGTTGTTGTTGTTTTAATATTTTTATTGATTTCAGAGAGGAAGGGAGAGAGAGAGAGATAGAAAAACATCAATGATGAGAGAGAACCATTAATTGGCTGCCTCCTGCATGCCCCCCACAAGGGATCAAGCCCACAACCCAGCCATGTGCCCTTATTGGAATCAAACCCCAAACTCTTAGGTCCACAGGCCAACACTCTCTCCACAGAGCCAACCTGGCTAGGGCCAGGGAACAAAGTTTTAAATCTGTTACTACTAACTGAAAAAAAATAATAATTATTCATTTCAAAGACAGCCTGAGATTCTATGTAGATTTAAAATGTGTACAGAAGGAGACGGGACCGGTTTGGCTCAGTGAATAGAGCCTCGGCCTGCGGACTGAAGGGTCCCTGGTTCGATTCCGGTCAAGGGCATGTACCTTGGTTGCAGGGGGGGGGGGGGCGTGTGTGTGCAAGAGGCAGCTGGTCGATGTTTTTCTCTCATCGACGTTTTTGACTCTCTGTCCCTCTCAATTCCTCTCTGTGTAAAATCAATAAAATATATTTAAAAATAAATAATAAATAAAAAATGTGTACAGTAGGAGATCTGAAAGGAACTGTTGGGATCAGTCAGCCTAATTCTCCAGTTTAATGGGAGCCTAGCCTAAACTTTAGTTTTCCTGATTCATGGTCCAGTGATCTTTTTTCTACACCACTATACTTTCCATGCGGAAAGAAATAGGGACCAAGAAAAACTGAACCCCTCCTGGGTGCTAGGCACTTTACTAATGTTCTTAATCTCATTTCCCCCCACATTTCACAGACAAGATAAATAATAAGATAACCTGGAATAAGTTAAAAGAAAAAAAATCCATAAATACAGGTGGAATAAATATGTGAAATGCTCTGGATTCCTAGGAACTCAGGAACATTCAATCACAATCTTTTTTATCTTCACCTCAGGATGTTTATTAATTTTAGAGGGAGAAGAGGGATAAAAAGGGGAAGGAGGGGGGGAGGGAGGGAGGGGGGGGGGAAGAGGGGGGGGGGGGGGGGGGGGGGGGGGGGGGGGGGAGGGGGGGAGGGAGGGAGAGAGAGAGAGAGAGAGAGAGAGAGAGAGAGAGAGAGATATCTATGCAAAAGAGAAACTTTGATCAGTTGCCTCTTTCATGCACCCTGACCAAGACTGAACTCACAACCTAAGTATATGCCCTGACTGGGAATCAAACCTGCAACCTTTCGGTGTAAGGAACAACACCCCAAGCAACTGAGCCACCTGGCCAGGGCTCACTCATAATCTTATTAAATAATTCCTCAACCACCTGTCATGTAGGAAGCTTAAGACAGGGGAGGCCCTGACCAGTGTGGCTCAGTTGGTTAGAGCATCGTCCTGTGAACCTAAGAGTTGTGGACTCAATTCTCAGTCAGGGCACAAACCCAGGTTGTGGTTCCATACTGTCAGGACACATATGGGTAGCAACCCATAGCTACGTCTCTCTCACATGGATGTTTCTGTCTCTCTCTCTCCCTTCCTTTCTCTCTAGAATCAATGAAAAGCACATCTTCAGGTAAGGATTAACATGAATGAATGAGTAAATAAATGCTGTGTGGGGAGACTTGGAGACACAGAGCAAAGGGAGAGGCAGTGGGGCAGTGACTAAGAAAGACCTTGAAGCTGAATGGTCACAGGAAAGGCTCCTGCCCTGGTCACGAGGCATAACCTGTTTTCACACTCACTTGCAATGAGCTGTTCCAAGTCTGTCTTGCCCACTAGACTGCAAGCATCTGTCTGCGATAGGCCCAGACCTTTCATGATGTGCGGCATATAATAGGCGCTCAGTAAACATCTGTTAACGGAAATGAGTGCCTGCTCGAGAGTGAGTGCTTATGGAAAGAATCAATCCTGCTGAAACAGGTTTGGCTCAGTGGGTAGAGTATTCGCCTGTGGACTTAAAGGTCCCAGGTTCAATTCCGATCAAGGGCATGTACCTTGGTTGCGGGCACATCCTCAGTAGGGGGTGTGCAAGAGGCAGCTGATGGGTGATTCTCTCTCATCGATATTTCTAACTCTCTATCCCTCTCTCTTCCTCTCTGTAAAAAATCAATTTTATATATATATATATATATATATATATATATATATATATATATATATATATATATATATATATATATATATATATATATATATATTTTTTTTTTTTTTTTTTTTTAAAGAACTAATTCTGCCAAAACCGGTTTGACTCAGTGGAAGAGCATTGGTCTGCGAACTGAGGGGTCCCAGGAGGTTCAATTCCAGTTGGGAGCATGTACATTGGTTGCAGGCACATCCCTGGTAGGGGGTGTGCAGGAGACAGCTGGTTGATATTTCTCTCTCATTGATGTTTCTAGCTCTCTTTCCCTCTCCCTTCCTCTCTGTAAAAAATCAATAAAATATTTAATAATAATAAACAAGAATCAATCCTGATTCTTTCAGTAAGAGTATTGGGAAAAGCCAGGGTAACAAGGAAATACCTTACCTCTTTGTTCTCGTAGCTCTCCACAGCAAAATCATTTTTAACCACCACATATCTCTCCTTCCATTTCTTTAGATCTTCGGCAAACTGGGATAGTTCTGCTTCATACAAAACGGTCCCAGGATCCAATGGTGGCTTAAAGAAGACGAATACAATTAGTTATGGCCACAAAAGATAACATGCCATGCTACCACTAAGTCTGGCCCTGGCATTTCAAGGAATATTTCAGGAAACTGACATCCTGAAGAAATGGTTGCTTCTTCCCCTCCCTACACACTTCCCTCTCCTACCCTCCTGATCGGATGCAAACATTTGTCTTATTGATATTTTTGTGGCTTTCATTTCCCTCCGTGGTGCCACAGAGACACCACTATGCCTGGGATGCACATGGCACTTGATAAATCCTTGATAAACTCTGTGGAAGAGAGGGAGGGAAGCAGTTAAATTGTAGACATCAAGCCCAACACCAGGAATATGCCTCCGTTTAAAACCTGAAAAACAGAAAAATGAACAGGCTGTTCCCCTATTCATCACACCTCCGGCAGCCTCAAAAGTCAGGTTCGGCTCAGTGGATAGAGCATCGGCCTGCGGAGTGGAGAGTCCTGGGTTTGATTCCTGTCAAGGGCACATGCTGGCTCAGTCCCTGGTGAGGGGGCATGCAGGAAGCAGCTGATCGATGATTCTCTCTCACCATTGATGTTTTTATCTCTCTCTCCCCCGCTCCCTTCCTCTCTGAAATCAATAAAAATAAAAAATAAAAAGCCGAAACCGGTTTGGCTCAATGGATAGAGCATCGACCTGTGGACTGAAAGGTCCCAGGTTTGATTCCGGTCAAGGGCATGTACATTGGTTGCAGGCACATCTCCGTTAGGGGGTGTGCAAGAGGCAGCTGGTCGATGTTTCTCTCTCATCGATGGTTCTAGCTCTCTATCTCTCTCCCTTCCTCTCTGTAAAAAAAAATTTAAAAAAAATATATATATATATATATATATATATATATATATATGTGTGTGTGTGTGTGTGTGTGTGTGTGTGTGTGTGTGTCAGGCTCACTGGTTTTCCCAGGCCCCAAAGCCTTGGGAGCCAGGCTGTAAACCCTGAGCCTGTTCTCACGGAGACCCTGTTGGCTCTTCCATCAAAGAATAGCAGGCAAGCCAGCACAGCCCAGTTCTGCATCCACTTAAAAGTTGGAGGATTTCTCATTAACTGGTGGCACAGAGGCTGTAGGAGAGTCTCTGTGAGAGTTCCAGCTAGGTTTCCCAGAGCTACTTGTGGAAGGAACCATTCCCATCCTGCCTCACAGTGCAATTCCCGATTTATCTCAAATTACGGAACTGGATCTTCTGTCTTTTACATGAATTTACATCTACTTTCCCTTTTATTAAAGATCACATAGTAATGCCTTTAGGAACTCGTTCCTCCACTTTCAAGCAACATTTACAGGAACCACCCAGAGAGGATAGAACTGCTCATCTTTTTCAGGGATGAAATACATTCCCTTCCAAATCCTGGGGCTTAGTGTTCTGTCCTCACAAATAACACTAATATAAACACCCAATGGTAGTCTACAGGTCCCACGTGGTCTAGTCCCTACCTGTCACCCATTAGTCATTTCTCCTCCCTCCTCCCTTCTTTACCCTGCTCTCAGCCTTCCCAGAGTGCTGTGGCTACCTCAGGGTCTCTGGACTTGCTGTGGCATCTGCCTGGACCAGTCTTCCCACAGATATGCACTCAGCCTCCATTTATTTCACTCCCGTTTCTCCTCACATGCCACCTCCACACAGGGTCCTCCGACCATCTACTCTAAAAGAGGACCCCTGCTCTATTTTTCCTTAATAGCATTTATTAGCTCCTGATATTCATTTGTTTATTGTCTGTCTCCTACATTTGAATATAAAGAGGAAGCGGAGAATTTGTCTGGTTCCCTAGTTCTTGGAACAGGGCCTGGCACATGGTAGGTGTCAATGATTCTTTGTGGAAGTCGTGGATAATTGTGATAATAGAGCAAAGAAGAAAGAATAAGTTAGGGGATTAGAAGAGAAAATTCCTATTTGATCAATGACCAAAATAAAAATGACAGTAGTACAAGGCACTAAAATTAAGACTTTGTAAACTGAACTTCACTACATCAAGTCATATTTGCTGGTATCAAAGCATCAAGGTGAGGAAAAAAAATAAAACTGGATCATGCTATTTTTTTTTTAAATATGGATTACACCACATATGTTCTAACTTCCAGGTAAATAAGAGTTTTTTTGAGCATGAAATGACCTGAGAACACATTTTTTAAAAAATTGTCATTCAGATGAATGCTTCTTTCAGATATATTAACTTATATAATATAAGCCTAATATGCTAAGTGTCCAGTCATCCAGTCATCAGTTCAACCAATCAAAGCATAATATACTAATGATATGCTAAGGCTGTTCAACTGCTCGCAATGATGTGCACTGACCCCAGAGGGCAGACTGTTGACCAGTCAACCAGTAGCTATGATGTGCACTGACCACCAGGGGGCAGACGCTCTGACTGGTAGGTTAGCTTGCTGCTGGGGTTCAGCTGATTGAGACTGAGCAAAATGGGCCGAACATGCTTTGGAGCCTTCCCATGGTCCATCTCCAGCTGGCCAACCTCCTGCATCCCTCCCCAGCTCTCTCACAATCCAGGACCCCTTGGAGAATGTTGGAGAGCCAGTTTTGGCCTGATCCCACAAGTCAGGCAGAGGGACCCCACTGGTGCAGGAATTCATGCACCAGGTCTCTAGTGAATTATAAAGCATTACTCAGTGGAAGAAAGATATAAAGCCAAATGGTCATGGGTTACCTTGGTCTTCAAAATTTGTGATGTTAGATCTCTTTGTTGTTCTACTTCACTGCGCACATGATTGCAGAAGGCCACAGAGTACTGGCGACTGTAGAAGGGACTGAAGTTTTTTATAGCGGCCTCAGTTTTCCCTGGAAAAACATGGATATTAGAATTTAGACATGTAGAGTCTCTCACAAAATAGACATAAATTTATATAATTCATAAACACTCTTCCAGTATCTTTAACATCACCGGTTCCCAGAAATGTATTACTCTGCATGTGCTGAGAACCTTGATCCATGCTGTGCATGCCTTTATCTCTCCCTCCCCTTCTGAGGTCATCCTGAGAGACTCTGTTGTCCTTAAGGACCATCCACGCAGGAACCAATAGAATTTTTCTTCATTTGACATCAACAACTTGCCACGGCCATAAACTCAACATCCTTACAATCCTCTATGACTACCATCCTACCGCACCCTGTTCTCATTTCAACTGGCTCTTCCTTCCTCTCTACCCCCATCATTCAACTCCTGTACAGCAATAATCTCAGGGTCCACCATTTTATATAGCTCTGCACACTCATCACTCCATTTGTCTTCAGATGCCTGGGGCTCCAGCCCTTGTCTTACTGATCCATAACCCTGGAAAAAACACCAACAAACTATTTCTTCTATTTCTGGTCCTATGTTTCTGGTTTAAATTGTGTGTGTGTGTGTGTGTGTGTGTGTGTGTGTGTGTGTGGTGTGAAGCATCATATAATTACTGTCACATACAGGTAGAGCAAAAACCTTTACCAGTCTAGAGACCTGAGTTCTGGTCCCAGTTTACTGAGACAGAAAGCAGCTGTATGACCTCAGCCAGGTCACTCATTCTTTCCGGGTTCCAGTATCCCTAACTCAGTGGTTGGCAAACTGTGGCTCGAGAGCCACAGGCGACTCTTTGGCCCCTTGAGTGTGGCTCTTCCACAAAATACCACATATACTAATTAAGTTAATAAAAATATACCTACCTATATAGTCTAAGTTGAAAAAATTTGGCTCTCAAAAGAAATTTCAATCATTGTACTATTGATATTTGGCTCTGTTGACTAATGAGTTTGCCGACCAATGGCCTAACTCTAAAAGAAGGTGTCCACTAGTCCACACGGTTCTTGGAATCTACGTGACACTGAAGTATAACCATGGAAGTACACCTGCCCCACAGTAGTGACCAACCACTTCAATATAGTCTCTTGGTACCAAAAGGAAATAAGGCTGAGAATCAACCAGGTGGGGGCAGCTCAAGGACTCAAGATAGAGGGAGAGTCAGGCACTGGGAATAGTCTTGAGATTTTCCAACCTGTGCTTAGCTTTAGAGAGTAAGGTAGTTGCAAAGGAAGGAAAAAAAGAGGAGAAATAAGAGAGAAAGGGCAAAGGGATCTTTTAAAGTAGATTCGAAATCTTGACAACCTTTCAGAGACTTGCTAGTTAGAATGGAAATCAATACAGGTCCCACTGACTGTGCCTAAAAGCCATTAGTCCTTGGAATAAGATATTAGCTTGAGAAAAAATAAACCTGACACAACATTCCAAAGCATGTTTAAATACTTTCAAGTGAACTTGGCACAATGCTTGTTTCCAGTTTGATATGATAGTCAATAGAGAAATATTAAAATGCACTGAAAGTTATTTTATGGGTTGAGATACTCAATACAAGAACCTTGAATCCGTGACTATCAACTTCTAACCTATAAATCGCAGCCCCAAACACCCACAGTGTAGGAATAGTCTCTTTATATGAACAAGTCTGTTTTAGCTCAGACGTTTAGGTCTCAAAATATGTATTGATATGAGGTAAAGGGGACCACCTCTTACTTATTCCCTCAATAAAATGCATTTCCTGGCTGTGTTTATGGGCTTTAATAATTATTACTTGTAAGGTGCTTTGAGACCCACTAATAATAGGCTCGGTGGAAATGCAAATGAAAGCTCCTGTAATTTAAACCAGGCATGCTTTTGCTTGCTCTGTGAGTTTATGGTATTACTATTAATCAATATTTGCATAACACTTTAATACACTCAGGCTTTATAACTGTCTAATTGGTTATTATTTTCATTAGCTTTTATGTAGTGCATAAGACATAAAATTCAATATCCTTGTCTGTAATTTTCTTATACAGAAGTGAATCTTTGTTGAGAATTCCCACAAGGAGAACAAGTCTCACCTCACTGAAAAATATAAACAATGAGCAAAATGTGCCCTTTAGATCCAAATAACCACTATTTTGTCCAGCAGAAGAGCAGCCTGCTAATATCTGATGCTAATTTTTGCACTCTGGCAAGAATTTGGATTTAAATGAAAGGAGACGGATGTCGTTTTATGTGAGCTCTACAAAGCCTTAAAAGCTGATTTCCTGCCACACCACCAAGCTTCCCTCAAGGATGCCTGGTTTCCACGGAGGTTCTATGATGCCACCACCCCCTCCAGATGTGTGAGAAAAATGCTTCTGTGATTTGAAAATTTCATCCGGTGCCATCAATGCATCATCCACCAGGCAACACTTATAAAAAAAAAAAAAAAAAAAAAAAAAGGAATCCCAGCTCCCTTGGGTAATTAGCCTAATGACTGATTCAAAATGTGAATAAAATAGCCAACAACATCACAAGGTATGGGGGAGAGAGAACCGAAAGCAACCCCTGAAATGCATCTAGGTTTTATATTAAGCCTAACTAAACCCCAATGAAGGGAAGTCCAAAGTAGGGATCGTGATACTTTGAGAAAAGCTCAGTGCGGGGCAAAATGCCACAGTGGTCAGCACCATGAACTCTGGAGTCAGACAGACATGGATTTGAGTCCCATCTCTGCTTCTTAGCAGCTGTGGCCTCTCACATGGCTTCCTCTTCTATAAAACGAAGACCAGAGGAGCAATATCCTATTGTTATGGTAATCACGTGAAATAATGCAGCCAAGTGCTCATTATTGGCGCTGGCACATAGAAATAGTTCAATAACCCATAGTCATTAAACTGATGACAATGATTATAATGGCCCAAGCCAACAACCAAGAGGACATCCATAAGCTGAACTAAGAAATCAAGGAGAAGCCAAAAGCAGGTCTGTCCCTGTAGCCCTTTACCTGGTGCCATCAAACATAGCCTACGTTTTCAGAGATGCTTCGGGAACACTTATCATCACATGAGAGATCCTCAGTGCATCCCCCAATTGAAGCTAACTGAATAAAACATTAGCATTAATGAGTCGAAGCTAAAGCATGCGTTAGTAGCTGCGTTACAATGAGCCTCTCTCTCTGAGCCTCAATTTTCTCTGCCTATAAAATGGAGATAGTAAGACACCCATTTTCACAGGATTTTGTCTGGATTAAATGAGATGGTCTTCAGGTAAAAGAGTTTCTAGAGTGGTGCCTGACACTTCAGTTGCTCAATAAATTTTGGCTATCATTATTGTCATGTAATATCCCACCGGGAAAGCACTCAATGAAGTCCATCAGCTCATAGGCACCACATGCAATAACTTCCGCTGAAACCAGCTTGCTTTCCGTTTTCAAGATTCTTGGGTTTTGCATTGCCTTCCTTCCCTACCCCACTCCCCAATTTAGCATTATATTTCCTTTCTGAATTTGTTTGTGAAACACAGTGCCAGATCTTGCACTAAAAGGCAGTGACTCAATAACATGAAGATTAGAAGGACTACTTTCACATTTTGTTATACTGGCATTTTTTTGTAAACATTTCTTCTGATCCTACTCAATTATTGCAGCCTGTGCTAGGCATTGTTTTGGTACAATTTACTTCACCAGGCTGATCATTATCCCTTTAGGGTAATCACACTAAAGCTAAAAAAAATAAAAAATAAAAATAAAAAGCCTTTTCGACAGCTTTGTCCACAACTTTTTGCTTCAGTTCAACTTTGTAAAAGTAAGAAAAGTGTCTTCTGGCCCTTTCAAAACCATTTCAATTCGCAGAGGTTCAAAAGCACTGTTATTTGATTCCTTCTCCCTCACACTCACATTCAACCATGGGATCTTGTCACTTCTATTCCTTTCCCCCCATCTCTCCACACCTTGAACCAAGTCTTTATCACCTTTTAACACAGTAAAAGTCTCTTCCTCTGCCCTTTGTCAGCATCACAGCAGAGCCAAAAAACTCACTAGCTTTCAGCTCTCGAAGAGAAACAAAAAAGTCAAAACCAGAGATGGAGGCGGGAGTGCCATGGCTGTTACACAGATCCTGGAGGATTATGGGAGTCAAGCCACCGCATGGTCTAGGTGGCAGAGGCAGGTTCTGGGACGTGGACAGAGTGAGTCCAGGGCTGATAGAGCAGAACAGGAGAGGCTGAATCCAAGCTGGTCCAGCTCCGGAGAAAGCCGGCAGGAGTTACCAAGGCCCAGAGGTTACAGCGGGGCTCTGTCCTTCAGAACCAAGTCTTGCCATTCATGCTCCCAGGGAACTCTATTGAAAACTGCGAGAGGCACACCTCAAGTCACAGAGGCACAGTTCTCTATGTCCTGGTCTGACACGTTTCACCGGACACACTGTTTCAAGACCATGCCACGACCCTTGTCAAAACCTTCAACAGTTCCCCACTGCTCCTCCCCAGAGTAGTGACCGCCTAGCCTAGCACCAAAGGCCCTGTGATCTGGCCCCCCTGCCCTTATGTCCTATCTCTCCTACTGCAACTGTACCTCCTGTCCCCTGTGCATGTCCATGCCTTCCTCTCTCCATCTCCAGCTACATGCCCTGCCAGCCAGATTCAGACCCTTCACGCCCAGATGGCAACCCCAACCAAAGTAGCCTTTTTGGCTCTCCCCCAGCTGCAAACAGTCTCACCTTCCTTTGCATTCTCCCAACACTGTGTACCACCTTTGCTACAGCTGTTCAAATAGAGCTTATCTCCCCTCCAAGGGAGATAAGATCTATTTGGACTTATGTACTCAGCAAATATTTGTTGCATGAACAAAAGAATGGCTGCGTCAATATTTAAGAATAACGCAAAGAACAAAGCATCGGAATCACGGAACCCATGTCAACACCCTAAGAAAGGAGAAAGGCACATTTCTCAGCCTGAATACTTATTTCAAACATACACTCATAAAGCCCAACTCATTTGTTTTTGAGGGGGAAAAAAAAATCAGACTCGTACTGATTAATTC